CCCCTCTCAAGCAGAGAATTCTATGGGAGCAGGTGCATCCTGTTTTCGGTATAAAAATAGTAGAATATCAGACTATTAGACTGAATATGTGTATAGACTCCAAAATATGCTTCAGGTGTCTTTTTGGGAGTATACAAAAAGTCTAGCTCACCCCATCAATAAACTCAGGGCAACCAAGAGGGAGGGTGGACGTGGTCCAGCACGACTGTATTCCAAGTGCCTGAAGTCATAGAGCAGAGTGGGGAGAGATGAATGGCAGAACTCAGCCCTGGAAGAGATTTTGAAAACTCATCTAATGTGTTCTCCTAAATCATCTGAGGCAGGTTGGTTTTGTTCTGAAATAGTCCAAGGGAAAGCCGCTATTTGGGTGTAGACATTGCAGTATAAACAACTCCCACTTGCTGGAAGTCAGATCTCTCTACTTCATCACCTGCCACAGCAAACACAGGCAGATGGACTCTGTTTACTGAGATTTATGCCTCTGGCTACTTCCTGGGTGGTTGGGAGGCAATCTGCAGGTGGGGTTGGCTTAGAGCTTAGGGAAAAGAGAAGTGAAAAAAATACCCCAGCACTCTGTGATATGTTCCCCTACAGAGAGATCAGGGATGGCCTCAGGTCATGGAAAATTTGGGCTGGACTGTACAGGACTGGGAAGGGGTAAGTGCCTGAGAATAGAAGCTGACGGGCTGTGACTGGTGCAGAGCCGAAGATTGCTTTGTAAGTGGCTCTGACCCAGTCTAGGGAAGCAGACAAGAAAGTGCTGGTTGGTGAGTTCTGACACAGCAGATTTGAGGAAGGACTGATGGCAGGGAGGGTCGTTTGGGAATGTGTGTCAAGGGAGATGAACTGCTTGCTGTTCCTAATGAGGGTGAATAAATGACATGTGAAAGGCAAGCCCAACAGGTAGACCCCACTGGAGAGTGAGGAGCTTGTGGCGCCAGTGGTGGCAAGAGGGAGGGAGGGAGGAAGCCATGGGCAGGCATGTCTGTTAGGCCAGGACGTGCAGGAAGAGAACAAGGCACGCTCTCAAGTGCAGCACGACAGATCTGTCTCTGGAGAAAACAGCCTCATCAGTCTTTGTGAAGCTACTGCATTGACCTTTAAGGCATCACTACCTAAGGGCTTTTCATGCTGACAGGCCGGAAGAAAATGCAAATGTTGAAAGAAACTGAGTTAACTGGATAAAGTAGGCTTAGATGGGTTAAAGGCAATCAGGCTGTTGAAAACACAGCATGGTTAATTTGGAAGCTAGAAATATTCCTCCTGTTCATTAAAATTCAGATTGTTCCATTCGTAGTGTTAGTATTCTTGCTGTTATTGCAATACTACTAACAACACAACTAAGCTGGGACTTGAGATACTTCCCCAAGACCAAATAACACTATGGGTATTGTCGTATGTGCACGAAGCAAATCTTGCACATTTCTTCCAGAAGCAGAAAAGAAAAACCAGTAGGGAAGGGCAAGTGAAAGAAAAAGAACCGAGGTAGTCTTGTTTTGCACTCTTGTAAGCCTCGAACTTTACTGGGAAGTCTGGGAGTTGAATGGATACATGGGTAGGTAGATGGGTAGGTGAGTGGGTAGGTGGATGGATGGATGAATGCATAGGTGGATGGGTGGACGAGTAGGTGAGTGGATGGATGAATGGGTGGATGGGTAGGTGGATAGGTAGGATATAAATAGATATGTATGTTTATAGTTTATATATAAATAATATAAATATATATATATTTAGAATAAAATGGTCACCTGGAATAATTATTTATTTTTAAAGATTTATTTGTTATTTGAAAGTCAGAGTTGCACAGAGAGAGGAAAGGCAGAGAGAGAGAGGTCTTCTATCTGATGGTTCACTCAACAGATGGCCGCAACAGCCGGAACTGCACCGATCCGAAGCTAGAAGCCAGGAGCTTCCTCCAGTCTCCCAAGTGGGTGCAGGGGCCCATGGACCTGGGCCATCTTCTACTGCTTTCCCAGGCCATAGCAGAGAGCTGGATAGGAAGTGGAGCAGCCGGGTTGAACTGGCGCCAATTGGGATGCCGGCACTTCAGGCAAGGGCATTAACCCACTGTGCCACAGCGCCGGCCCCCTTGGAATAATTATAAGACCTGAAGCAATTGGAAGGAAAAAAGGGATAACGCTACCACTCTCTGTGTGTAATAGATACCTTTTAATGCTCTGCCAGTCCCACACCTCCACAAATGGTTAAGTGTAGGTCAGTGTTGGCTGGCATGACCAAATCTCCTGGCTCCTCCTCTCCCTGTGTGTGACAGCCTGCTTGCCCTGTTTTCCTAATTCTCTGACCATTCTCTCTCACACTTTCTAGTTGGTTTTCCTCTACCTAAGTTCTAAACATTGCTGTTTTCCAGGCTCGATCATATCCCCTGTTTGCATTTCAATCTGTACTTTTTCCCTGCATGACTCCACCCACGCCCAAGATTAAAAAAAAAAAAAATCTCTTGTCCTGCTGGCTCCCAAGTGTATCACTCTTGGTCCAGACTTCTCTTCTGAGCACTGAGTTCTTGGGTCAGTGACCTGCTCTTCAGCTCCACTTTGCGGTCTCAGAGGCAGCTGAAACAGTGTCTCCAAAAGGGAGCGCTTCTCTCCTGCCCACCTGCTGCTGCCCAGGGGCTACCTTCATGGTACGGGCACTGTGTCATCCAGTGGTGCAGTCCAGAGGCCGAGGGAGCATTCTTGGTTCTGCCCTTTACCTCGGCCGCAAACACACGCAATCCTTCCCCAACACCTGTCATTTCTGGGCTCGCAGACTTGTTTTGAATCCTCCCCATCTCTGCTCTCGTGACCTGTGACTTAGACCAAGAAGCCAGCGTGATTTCCCCTCCCTGACGTGGACTCCTCATGAAGCTCCCTGCTTCTGTCACTGCTTCCCCATTATATCGTTCACACTGGGTACGGAATGACCTTTTGAAAGAAACAAAATGACGCACCTGCTTGCAGTTCTCTCATAGCTTCCCACTGTACTTTGAATAAAAATCGGATCCTTAACCTGACTTACAGGTCCTTGCTTGGTCCTGCTTTTTAGAGCAATTCACTGTCTGCCTCATTCACTTCACTCTGGCCACACTGGCGTGGAAAGTCTTCAGATAGGCTCAGCTTTTCCCTAACTCTGACTGCTTTTTCAGGGTTCAACTGAGATGTCACTCCCCAAGGATAACATTTCCCAACATCCCCCCACCCTGCCCACAGCATCACCGTCTACCATGGCGGTCTGCACTGTGGCACGCTACCTCCTGTCACCTCGCGATTTGTCTCTCTGTGTCTACTAAACGATCACTCCACAAAGGCAAGGCTGTGTTCTTCACGTTCACAAGTTTCTATCCTCCTGGATTCCGGTGTTGAGAATCCGAGATGGATCAGTCTCTGCTGATGGAAACTGTGCTGGAGACAAGTCCACCCAGAGCCATGGCATCTAGTCTCCTGCCCAAGAGGAGAACCCGGAGAAGACACCCACGTCGGGGGAGACACAGGCACAGAGAAAGGCACAGACACATACACAGAGCCAGGGGTGGCAACTAGGTCCTGTTCACGCTGTGTATGTTCCCCAAGAAAACAAACACAAGGGGCCAGCGCCTTGGCTCACTTTGTTAATCTTCCGCCTGTGGCGCCGGCATCCCATATGGGCACTGGGTTCTAGTCCTGGTTGCTCCTCTTCCAGGCCAGCTCTCTGCTGTGGCCTGGGAGGGCAGTGGAGGATGGCCCAAGTGCTTGGGCCCTGCACCCGCATGGGAGACTAGGAGAAGCACCTGGCTCCTGGCTTTGGATCGGCGCAGCGCCGGCCGTAGTGGCCATTTGGGGAGTGAACCAATGGAAGGAAGACCTTTTTCTCTGTCTCTCTCTCTCTCACTGTCTATAACTCTGCCTGTCAAAACACACACACACACACACACACACACACACACACACACCGCACAGGTGCCTTTTTGGCTTGGGTGATGCTGAGCACATCTCTGTAACCTGAAACCAGCATGGCCTGGTTAAAGATGGAGAAGGAGCAACTGAAAGACATTCCTCCAGCAACTTCAGCAAAAGAGATACACCCTGAATAAATGCTTGCTATTGGTCCAGGGACACATTTCAGAGCCCTGAGCTCTCCCCACGCCACTTCATGTGGCTGCTGCCTGTCTTCGACTTTGGAAGACGCTTCTCTGGTCTACCATTCCTCAAACAGTTTTTGCGCTGGAGTGAGGCTGTGGGCTAGAGGAAGGCCCAGGCTCTCACAGCCCCAGACACCTGTCACCTCGCAGCAGAGTTAGATGTAAGCCCCGGAGCCTGTTCTCTGTGCAGCCACTGCACCGTGGCAGGAGCTGTCCAGGGCAATGATGGATTTTGCGTTTCTTCCTTTGAAGGACGGGGCCTGCCTAATGCAACACATCCTTCCTGAAAATGATGCATTTCTAAGTTTCTGGCTTGAGGGTATGTGATTTCTGAAGGGTAAACATGGCCTTAAAGGGGGAAAATTGTTCTGCTTAACTATGCAGAGAATTCCCAGCAGTTCCCTTAATTTGGTTTTCGGAATAGGGCACATTTGCATTCATGGACTTGTGGCTTTTTAGAATAGCAAATGCATCGCTCTCTTCTCTATTCCATTAAGTGACTGGGTGGTCTGCAAGCTACACTGCCATTAGCCGGCACCCCGAGATGTGGAGGTCCATCCAGCTAGCCAGCTTGCTTCTTTTTCTCTCTTCTCCCAACCCCATCTTTTTTTCATTTTAAATCCTTTCTGTTAGGTGAGGACTGGGTCTCAGATATATGTGTGTGAGCGTGCAGGTGCATGTGTGTGCAACACACACTTGGAGTAGGGGAGGAGGAGGAGAGGAGAGAAGGGAAAATATATAAAATCTTGCTTAGCATTGAAAATATTGCACTGGTTTACAGCTGAAGTTAACAAAGGGAAGAAGATGGATGTTTTTGTTGTTTCACAGTTTAATATTTTATTATTAGCACATGACCACATGGCGCTTTGTATTTGGTGTAGTACAGGCTACCCAGTGGTGACTCCTCCGTGAGTCATTGAGGATGAGGACGTTTGAGAAAGGAATCTGTCACTCCACGGTTCCAAGGCCCATGGACTCCTGTCTCAGTCTGGATGGAGGAGGCCGGAGACTGCACCCAGCACTGCTTGGGAACTCACCGTCCAGAGGGCTCAGGTGAGTGAACGGGAAGACAGAGGAACTGTCTGTACTCCAGTAGAGAAGCCAGCATACTTAGGATGCTCCCATACACCCTCTGTGGTTGGCCAGTAACTTGTCAGTTACTATGTTCTCCCAACTACAAGTAAGGCAGCCCAGAGATCACTGGTTGAGAATGAAGTGTAAGTAAACTGTGAAGGAATTGAGACTGCCTCCCCCAAACTCTGGAGTTACATACTTCCCTAAACGTGGTAAATGTGCAGGAACAGTCCTCTGACGCTCTACATGCTAATACACTGATTCCTGATATAGCGGGTTTACTTGAGCTGCATTTATATCCACATTGTCCTTTTGGTCTGTTTAGGTAAGTTTCTTAGGCTCAGATGGTCTAAAGCTGTGGATGACACAGCAGGGGAGAGCTAGCCTGGGAGTTAGAAATTCTGATTTTGAGACACAGTTTGCCCCCCCAGCCCAGGCGAGTGGGAATATTCCTGAGCCTCCTTTACTGAAATATCTACCTTATCTGATTGTCGGAGGAATTTGATCATACGATGATCTTTGTGGAAGTGTTTTGGAATCTGTGAGCCATGGAGATACTACTGTTTTTTGATAATCATAATAGGGAAAAATTGGACATGGTGTAAATGCCGGCATTAAGGGTTTCTCTGCAGAGTGTGGCACCTCCATAGGGAAGAATGATCTGCAGGCATCAAATGTGATGGCTTCATTCATCCGCTGACATGGGCAGCTGACCCAAATGAACTCCTGAGTACAAAGTGTATTTTTCTAAAATGAAATAATGTAATATATGTGCTAAAAGACATCTGGGAGGATTTACCTAGTGCCTTCTTCTAGAATAGCATGTGTTATTAAGGAAATATGTAAGTAACACTAAAAGGATGGTTGGAATTTAGATGTACCCATTGTTGAAAAAAGGGACAGGAATTTGCTGTATACAGGGACAGGAAAGGGGTCACACCTATTTTGGATCATAAAGGGTTATGGTCAACACTCCTGTTAGAAAAGACAAGTTCATAAGAGCAAGGCGTAACAAATTTACTTGATCACCGTTTTGCATAACACAGCAGCCTTCAGACTGAAGGCTCAAAGATCCAAGGTGAATGATCCATCTTTATGCTTAGGTTCCGTGAAGTGCACAGCCTGTGTGGAAATGTGATTATACCATAGGGGTGTATGACCTAAAAGTGCCAGACTGAGGGAGGAAACCCAGCCAGGTCCATGTGTCTGATTGACTTCTGGCCCCTCAGTTGGCAGTCTTTCTTCCTTTTTCCATTTTTTGGCTGGCTTTGGGGAAAGGGCAGGAGGGCCCCTCTCTGGTCCACCCTGAGGAATTCTGGTATCTGTGGCTCCCCTTGGTGGGGAGATGAGGGGCGGGAGACAGGTGGACTGGAGAAGGACAGGGAGAATCTACTTCTGGGCTGTCACACTGGGGGATCGTTTGCTAACCCCCAACTGGGGACTTACAATCCCCAATTCTAATCTCTGCTAGCCACAGAGGTGCAGAGATATTGGTAGCCATGGAGGCTGAAGGCAGAGTCATCTTGTTAGAACCAAACCAGAGCTCCCTTTAGTCGGTGGCTGCCCTATAGTCCATACACATCCCCCTACGTAGAGGAAGTCAGAGTTGGGACACTTGTGTACAGCATGCCCCCTGTGTCCAGGCCTAAGACCAGGCCAGGTGTCCTGGATCCACTCTGGACCACGTGAACTCAGTAGATCAGCTGAGCAGATTCCTCCTGTGGGTTTCAGACAAGCTGTTGCAGGGTCATCTTCAGACCTGCTGAAATGTCTCAGCACCCTGCTAAGTGCTGTTGACATTAAAGGGACCATGTAACTGTGGCTCCTTTGGTAGAACTGTGTGTCCCTTGCTCCAGGCCTGGCTGCCGTATATTTATCCTGGAGCCTGAACCCTCACTGTTTAGCCACTTTTTTTTTCTATGTCGTCTTTTCCTTGAATGATTGTAAACCTACCAGGCACAAAACCTGTGCATGCACTGGGATCTGGAGTGGGGAAGGGGGGCAGATGTGAAAATGAGCCCAAGTCTCTCCGGCCCCAAGGACTTTATGGTCTAATGGAGGAGAGAGGTACACAAGCAATGAACCAGAAGGCAAAGCAAAATGAAATCAATGCTGAATCGGGCTCAGATAGATTGCTGTGAACTATTGAAGTGACACAAGGCAGCATCTTTGACCTCAGACTCTGGACCAAATCCAAGGATAAGGAGTAGCCCGGTCTCTCCATGCTAATTCACTATGCAGGTCTGGAGCTATAGACAGAAGGTTAGGGTATCACAGACCATGAGATCTGTAACTTTTTTTTAAAGATTTTATTATTTATTTATTTGAGAGGTAGAGTTACAGACAGTGAGAGGGGTCTTCCATCTGATGGTTCACTCCCCAAATGACCACAAAGGCTGGAGCTGAGCTGATGCAAAGTCAAGAGCTAGGAGCTTCTTCCGGGTCTCCCATGCAGGAGCAGGGGTCCAAGCACTTGGGCCATCTTCTGCTGCTTTCTCAGGCCATAGCAGAGAGCTGGATTGGAAAAGGAGCAGCCGGGACTAGAACCAGTGCCCATATGGGATGCTGCTGCCACAGGCGGAGGATTAGCCTACTGTGCCACGGCGCCAGCCCCTGGATCCTTAACATTTTACTCTGCACCAGCATTTCTGCTGCTTTATGAGTATTTTGTGGACCAACACGGAGACCCCTTTTCTTTTTTTTTTTTTTTGACAGGCAGAGTGGACAGTGAGAGAGAGAAACAGAGAGAAAGGTCTTCCTTTGCCGTTGGTTCACCCTCCAATGGCCGCCGCGGCCGGCCGGCGCACCGCGCCGGAGACCCCTTTTCAAGAACATGTGATCCAATCGACACTCTTTTCAAATAGCTGTTGTGACATTTGCTAGAAGGTCCACCTGGCATGATACTAGGTCTCTGTGTCAGAGTGGTGAGCCCTTTTCCGTGTCTGCTGCTTGGGTGGGGTGGGGGGCAGAATCTTGGGTCCAGCTCCTGGAAGCTGGTCATTGATGCCAAGAACTAACATGGGCAATCCCTTTCCTTAGTGTGAGCTGCCCCCTTCTCATCGGCAAAGTGTATTAAAATGTCCACATCCGTTGACCCCTCCACACCAAGGTCCATCCATGGGAAGTTGGGGATGGCACCAAAACAGAACCATCTACAAGGGCTTCTGTTGTGCGTTTCAAGTTTGCATTCTCGCTGCACCCCCGCAGCGAAGAACTGGTGCCCCCAGGAACTCCGTCCAGGGGAGGTGCCGGTTCAGGGTTTCTTTAAGCTGCTAGATGCAGGGAGCGTCACGGCTCCGGCCTGGGCTCTCCGAAAGCAGATGTTCCGATGTTCAGATGTTTGTTAGGGATCAACACCTGTAGAAGCAAAGGGGAAGATGAGGCAGAGGGAGACGCTGGACTCATAAAGCCCAGGCAACTCAGGGGAGAGTGACGGAGCCAGTGCTGCCCCCAGCCAGCCCAGCCTTTGTGTATGGGCCTCACACAGTCAGCAGGTGTAGGCTGCTGTAACAGTGTCCGGCAGCTGAGGCTGACGTTGAAGTTGCTGACAGCTGGCGGCTGCCTGCTGCCCACACTCTCCACGGCTGGGCTGCAAGCCCTTCCTTTACGTGGCTCCCACATCATCGTGTCTGCTGCCTTGGAGGTCTGTGTTCCCTGAGCATTAGCCACTTGCACAGCCCCTTGCGGGCACCCGACACCCAGTGTTTCTGTGCTTGTTTCTGTAGCGGCTCTGTTGCCTTCTCCGGATTCACCCTGAAGCCAGAATTCAGCTTGTGCCAGGGTATTCCTGGGCCAGGCATGTCCCTGCGCCTAGGAGTACGGATCTGGGATTGTGAAGTAGAATTCCAGTGATTTGATTCCTTTCACCATATGAATCTCCTCTGATCACCTTCTTATTCTCTCTTGTAGGCTTAAGTGGAGGGCTGTTAACTCAAGGGCACTACATCAGTAAGATTTCCTACACAGTAGATGCCGCGAGAAATTTCCCTCAAGGAGTCTGCCCCAAAGGAGAATTCACCCACATTCAGGAATGTCAACGGGCTGTATTCAAACCCATCTGCAGTGTAATGCAACATTTGTTACAAACCCGCATTCTGTTGTGTAGGGGCCGGTGTTAGGTCCTGTGGAATATAGAACACAAGTACTTATCCTGTCCCAGACGGAGGGGTGCATACCATTTCCCTCCTGATAGGGCTGTTGTGCTACCGAAGGGCTGGGAGGCCCAGTTTTGGGGAAGGGGTCAGGGAGGGAATTCTCTTCCAGTAAGAGCTGGAATGGCACTGTGTGAGAGCGAGCTGGGATCTGTCCTGGTGCTGCTTTTTTGTTTTCTTCTAGGACCCAGCTCTTGGCTTCCTGATGAGAGCTCTAGAGAGAGCAAGTGAGGGCTTCCCTCTCTCTCTCTTTTCTTATATTTATTTGATTTATTGGAAAGAGTGACACAGAGGAAGACAGAGAGAGAGAGAGAGAGAGAGAGATCTTCCATCCACTGGTTCTTTCCCTAAAATGGCCATAATGGCTGGGGCTGGGCCAGGCTGAAGCAGGAGCCCGGAGCGCCATCCTGGTCTCCCACCTGGGTAGCAGGGGCTCAAGCACTTGGGGCATCTTCTGCTGCCTTGCCAGGTGCATTATCAGGGAGCTGGGTCGGAAGCAGAGCTGCTGGGACTAGAACCGGTGCTCTGATGAGGGGTGCTGGCTTTGCAGGAAGCAGCTTAACCTGCTGCACCGCTGTGCCAACCCCTCCGTCTCTCTCTGTGTCTCTCCCTCTCTCAGTGCCTCTGCCTCTCAAATACTGAATAAATCTTAACAAACAATAATAATGGAAGGAGGTGCCTGCAGCAGTGCCAGTTGAGGCAGGCTGGATCCTCCTCCTCTACTAGCAGTGCCGTGCTCCTGCCTACTTGCCCGGGGCTCCTGGCCCCTGACTCTGTCTCCTCCTGCTGCTGCTTGCCCTGTCAGTGCAGTGGACCCATACCTACCCCTTTGC